GTGCTGATCAAATATAATATAAGTTTAATCACATATATAGTCATATAAAATAGGACACTCATGCGAGATTCATACTCAATGCATATTAGTCTAAGGCCTCGTTCATTTCACCGATTCGAGTTTTTAATTCTAAGTTTTTACAGTAAAAAATTATCAGAAAATGTCACATCTAACTTTTCTGTTACAGTGAAAAGTTCTCAAAAAATGTTAAATCTCAACTCAAATTGAAAACTCGAATCCGCAAAGTGAACGAGGCATAAGAATAGTAAAAAAATGGTAGTCATGTCACACTGAGACTTGTTTGGCAAGAGGAAAAGAAAATAAAAAAGAAGGGCGAGATACATAGGCCTCGTTCATTGGGTGAAGAAAATGAGAAGAGAGAGAGTCTTTTCCGTGTAGTGTTTGACACTAATTAAAAGGAAGGAAAGAAAGTCAATTTATTCTTTATTGGCTTTATTTTCTTCGGTAATGAATGGTAACAAAGTAAAAACACAGGTTTTCGGGGTTAGTTTAGACGGTTTTTTTTTTGTTTTTTTTTAAGAAACCACGAATTAAATTAAAAATAATTATTCTTTTAGGTGGTTTAGACGGTTTGATATTTTTAATGAAACTTAAATTAAACCAAATCATTCATAAATGGTTTGGGTGGTTTGGTTTAAGACTAATTTTTTTTTAATAATTCATAAAAATTATAAAATCGTTAATCAATAAAATAAAAATAAGATTTAAATTTATAATATAACTCAAAAATAATAAATTTCTAAAAATTCACTATTTAAAGTTTGAATATAAACTAATAAAAATATGATAGGGTATATTTTATATGTGTAGAACTTTTATTATAACTAACAAAAATTAAAATATATATAAAAACATTTCAAACCTTAAAAAATTATATATTTATATTTTTTTAGCGAATTATTAAGCGGTTTGGGAAGTCCAAACCACAAACCAAACATTCCAAAAAATTAGATTATAAAACCGACCAAACTGTTCAATAATTTAAAATTTTTTAACGATTTAGTTCAATTTGATTTGAATTGGGTGGTTTTCAAAATTTAACGGATTTTTTGAACACCCTAAAACCACACTCCACTTAATTGATAAGTTCCTGTTAAACAATCATATATACTCTTAAAATCTATTCACTCCACTCTTTGACTCATTTTCATTTTTTCTTTCTATAGAATAAGCTTTTAATTTCTATAAAAATGTGAGAGTCACGTGATATTCCTAACTAATTTGAGATTAGTAAAAGGAAATCGCAATATCAAGTATTTGATCGGCTAACCTTTAAAAAAAAAAATTTATTTGATTAGCAACATAATAGTGACTCTTAGGCCTCGTTCACTTCGCGGATTCGAGTTTTCAATTCGAACTGAGATGTGACATTTTCTTAGAATTTTTTATTGTAGAACCTAAAACTAAAAATTCGAATCGGTGAAATGAACGATACCTTAGAGTTTATTTGGTAGCAAAGAGAGAAATGGAGAGCGCGAGAGTGGTGCTGGGAGATGAGCGGGGAAAGAGCCTCAATCCTTTTAAAAAATTAGTATAAAATAATAAAAAGAACAATATACTAATTAGATGAATAATTATCCATATATCCTTTTAATTCTTTAATCTTCCTATTAAACAACACAACATAAAAAATTACTATAATTTTCTCAATTCTAAAATATTTCTCATTCCTTAAATTTTGTTCATACTCTTTATTCCTCCTATTAAATGGAACCTTAACATTGCTATAGTAATAATACAACAAAGAATTATTGAAAAGAAAAGGTGATTGGCGCTCTGTGCTGTGAAATGTAGTGAGGGAGAGAGAAAGAAAGGAGGGAGGGAATGAAAAAGGAAAAAAAGATTCAGTCATGATTTTATTTGTTTGTGGGGGCATCTTGAAAAAAGGACAAGTGAGAAAGCAAAGAAATGCTAGAGTAAGAGCCATGCTCTACTATCCTAATACAAATCCACGTACCTTTTGTAATTTTCTACCATCAAAAGAACCAAACCCCACTCTCTCTCTCTCTCTCTCTTACATATTTTATAGGCATTATTATAGTATCACAACCATCATCATAATGACAATTATTTTAAGAGAATGAGGAAAAGCCTCAAGGAAAGAGAACAGAGGGGAACATAAACCGGTGGGACATGACCACAAGTGACCCCTAATGATGTGTTTGGGAGTTGAGAATAAAGAAATACAAAAGGCCAAGGAAAAATTCCCCCTTTTTATTTTTTTATTTTAATCGAAGGGGGCCAGGGAACAGAGAACCTTTTTCAAGGTGAGGATTCTTTCATTTTTACTTTTATTTTTTAAAATTTTTTCGGTGTTTTATTTTTCTAAAACATTGATGTTTTTTATTTTTTTAATTATTAAATTTAATTAAAATTATAATAAATTTAAAAAATACGTAGAATAAATAAATTTTTATATAAATATGACTAATGAAAAGTAAAAAACACTATAAAAATCCCTTTTTTTTGTTATTTCAATTTTTAAAATTCTCAACACAATATACAAATTGCATAAATTCACAAGCTTACTTACGATGTTGGATCTTTTATATTAAAAAAAAAAGAAAAATGATTCGGGAATGTTTAGAAAAGAGATTCGTCTCATGATTTGAATTATGGTTCGTGACTCATTATAGTATTTTTTCTCATAAAAAATATACGTAAAATGAGAATAATTTTGAATCATAATTTTAAATTTATGAACTATATAATATTTTTTCTCATAAAAAAATATACGTCAAATAAAAATAATTTTGAATCATAATTCTAAATTTATAAACTGGCCTCGTTCACTTCGCTGATTCAAGTTTTTTTACAGTAAAAAACTCTCATAAATAATCACATCTAATTTTTTTACTATAATACAAAACTCTCACAAACAATCACATTTAACTTTAAATTCCGTTGTTGGAATCCCTTCGCGATCCCATAAGCCCACAATTCATTATAATTTACAACACTTGTAATGATGTATAATTGGAACAAAAAATTTCATCAAATACGCAATCATGGGAAAGTGGAACGTGGAAACTACAAAATGATAACATCATAAATCTCTGCAGACTACACTCGTAAATCGTAATTAGTCAATTAGAGTTCATTGTTGAGAGTGAACTACACTTGCAGACATATTGATGTGTATATTTAATTTAATTTTCAAAAAAATTTAAAGAATCCTATGACGAGATATAAAAATACCTTGCTAATTGTGTTAATAATCATATTAAAATAAAAATGTAAATCATTATATAGTAATAAAATTAAAATAAAAATGTAAAAATTGTGTTTATATTATCAGTTGAGTTTTTCTTTAGAATTCCGTGTAAAAATTTAACTAAATTTCGTATGTCTCTTTAATTTTGATTGGTATGATGAGATGATTTAGGATCGGTTTAGTTACATTTTTTAGTTATGGTAACTTGAGTATAGATTTTAAATTAAATTTGAGTTAAAGTTATAACTTGAGTTTGTATTTTGTTGTGTACATTTAAGTTATAGTTTGAGATGCAAATCTTTTTGAGTTTATATTTGTGTAGGTCAAAACTTGAGTTTATATTTAAAAAATATTTTAATATAAACTCAATGATGATGAAAAATTTTAATAGAATATATGGGTGATGTTTTATTCATCTATTCGTTGTGAACACATAAAAAAAGAATATTCTCAATCGGAATTAAAATGAAAAAGTTATAACATTTTTAAAAATAAAAAAAATATTATTTATTAACTTGAGTTTTAGTTTAAAAATTTGAATTGAACTCAGATTTTAATTCAAAACTCAAGTTAAAATTTAAGTTAAAACTCAAATTTAAACTCACATTTTATAAAAAAAATATAAACTTAAATAAAGTTGTAACTTAAGTTTAATTTTTTTTTGAGTTTTAATGTAAACAAACAAGTCTTTAAAATTGTGTTTATCTCATGTTTTATCACATAATTTTTAATTTTGTTACATCAAAATTCTCTCTCTCTAAAGAGATGTTTAGTTGAAGGATTTAAATCATAATTTAAATTATAATTCATTATTTAATATAATATTTTTTTTATAAAAAATATACATAAATTAAAAATAATTTTAATCACATAATTTTAATATATGAAATAAACATCTCTAATTTTTTTTTTGCCTGATATAGTCATAAGGTAGAGCATTGACTCACCCCCCACAAAAACACAAGATATGGGAATCAGTCAATCAAACCAACACTCAAAGGAGCGTGCAAACCAAAGTCCAATCCCAACAAACCCGACCCCTCCCCTGCTGGCCCCACACATCCCATCAAGTGGCTGATTGGCGCGTCTGATACACCCGTTGAATTCGCCAGTGGGGTCAAATAATCTCATCCTTTTTCCTCTTTTTCCTTTTTATTTTTTTGGCTT